CATTAATCATAGGCCCAATAGACCTCCAATAATTTCCAAGTTTTTCTTCAACGTTTCATCATTCGAGGGTTTTTGGTCTTAGCAAATTTTTTTATGAAACCAATGTTAGTTTATAACCAGAACTAGTATAATTTCACGTTGTTTCAATTTAGTTGATGACTATAAATGTAAAGAATTGAAATCACTTACATTATGTTGATTTTTCTTCAACTTCTTCCTTTTTAATGCATGATATTATTATTTCTTGAAAAAATTGCAAAAATACCACTTTTTATGTGTACATTTGCAAAAATACCAATTAGAAGTGTTCATTACAAAAATGCCACTAATTATAGATTTTTAAACCCTATATCTTAAAATTCTAAACACTAAAAAATATTTTGACCCCTAAACCCCCCTAAACCCTCGTAACTAAACCATAATATAACATAATTAACCCAAACATAAAGAATATAAAGAAAAAATAATTTTGAAAAAATGGCATTTTTGTAAGGGACAATTACAAGAATGCCACTTTTTGTGTGCGCATTTGCAAGAATGCCACTTAGAGGTGTTCATTTACAAAAATGCCACTAATTATAGATTTATAAATCTATATCTTAAAATTATAAACCCTAAAAATGTTTTGACACCTAAAACCCCCTAAACACTCAAAACTAAACCATAATAGAACATAATTAACCCAAACGTAAATAATATAAAGAAAAAATAATTTTGAAAAAGTGGTATTTTTGTAAAGATTTCAAAAATATGGTATTTTTGTAAAATGACACTCGAAAAGTGGTATTTTTTTAAATTTCTCTTTCTGTAAAGATTTTAAAAGTGTTGTATTTTTGTAAAGTGACACTTGAAAAGTCGTATTTTTTGAAATCACTCTTATTTCTTTGTTATGTATGATGATGTGTATACTTAATGTGGTAATCCTATATATAAAAGAAGTTATTACAGCAAGAAAGTTGAAAGGTTTTAATATTTTGTTTACTTAGAAGTTGGAAGGTTATGTTTCTCGTGAACAAAAAGAAAGAGGATAAATACGTGTTTTCTTTATCCTATAGAGTAAAAGTTATTTTAGATTTTTTTACTTTTTATTATTTTAATTTGTGAAAGATGATGTGTCATAGAAAAGGGTGATGAGGTGTCAAACCCTTGTGAGAAGTGAGAGCAACTCAACTATCTAATATAATATTTTAAGGTTTCTTCAATACCAAAATTATGAGAAGCTGTCATGTG